CAGCATCAGAAGATGACGCTGATACAGACCTCATCTCTGACATGTCAGAGGAATCCTTGGGTGAGCCTGAAACACTGGCAGAGCGTTTTTGTGGGGAAATGCTCCCAGACTTTGGTGTCTGATCAGGTGACTGATCAGGTGACTGATCAGGTACCAGAAAGCATTTTTCTGGGGTACTGCTCCCAGACTTTGGTGACTGATCAGGTGTCTGATCAGGTGACTGAAGGTACCAGAAAGCATTTTTCTGGGGTACTGCTCCCAGACTTTGGTGTCTGATCAGGTGTCTGATCAGGTGACTGATCAGGTGACTGATCAGGTACCAGAAAGCATTTTTCTGGGGTACTGCTCCCAGACTTTGGTGTCTGATCAGGTGACTGATCAGGTGACTGAAGGTACCAGAAAGCATTTTTCTGGGGTACTGCTCCCAGACTTTGGTGTCTGATCAGGTGTCTGATCAGGTGACTGATCAGGTACCAGAAAGCATTTTTCTGGGGTACTGCTCCCAGACTTTGGTGTCTACTGATCAGGTGACTGATCAGGTGACTGATCAGGTACCAGAAAGCATTTTTCTGGGGTACTGCTCCCAGACTTTGGTGACTGATCAGGTGTCTGATCAGGTGACTGAAGGTACCAGAAAGCATTTTTCTGGGGTACTGCTCCCAGACTTTGGTGTCTGATCAGGTGACTGATCAGGTGACTGAAGGTACCAGAAAGCATTTTTCTGGGGTACTGCTCCCAGACTTTGGTGTCTGATCAGGTGACTGATCAGGTGACTGATCAGGTACCAGAAAGCATTTTTCTGGGGTACTGCTCCCAGACTTTGGTGTCTGATCAGGTGTCTGATCAGGTGACTGATCAGGTACCAGAAAGCATTTTTCTGGGGTACTGCTCCCAGACTTTGGTGTGTCTGATCAGGTGACTGATCAGGTGACTGATCAGGTACCAGAAAGCATTTTTCTGGGGTACTGCTCCCAGACTTTGGTGTCTGATCAGGTGTCTGATCAGGTGACTGAAGGTACCAGAAAGCATTTTTCTGGGGTACTGCTCCCAGACTTTGGTGTCTGATCAGGTGACTGATCAGGTGTCTGATCAGGTACCAGAAAGCATTTTTCTGGGGTACTGCTCCCAGACTTTGGTGTTACAGGTGTCGTTACAGATTCTCTTCCACTTCCATCTGAATCTGTGCTGGTTTCCTTTGTTGGGGTCCTCGTTCTTTTAATAATTTTCTGGATGTCTTCCACAGCCACAGAAATTTTGTCCTCAATCAGTTGATCTTGGTCTTCGTTCTCCACCCAGAGTAAAAGCTTTTGCACAAACTTTTCTACTGCGTCTTCTACGAGCACATAGAGGACTTCAGCAGAAAAGGGACGCTTTGATCCATGTGCTGGTTGTGGAGTCCTGGAGATGACGGTGTCAGACAGGGATCTACCCATTACAGGTTCGGGGATTTGATACAGTCGATCCGTCATAAGTAGATCAAACACTTTTGCCGTTAACTCCACAGTAAAATCTCTGGTTGCTCCACCAGTTCTAAAGTTTTCCACTGTTTTGTGGATGCTGAAGACTTTTTCTTTCTTTGTTAATTTCTCATACAACTGATTGACGTCTGATCTAATCGCCTCGAAGTCGACGGGAGAGGAGCGTATGTAACGGAGCAGTGTGTTTCGGCTGGAAACCGTAGTGTTATCAGAGGGCACCGTGTCACCTTTGGGGTCCTTGCAAATGTTTTTCAGACAAACAAGAAATTTTCTGTTTGCCTTTATTACTTTTCTCAGGTCTTTTTTCATGGTTTCAAATTGTTTTCTGGCAAACATGGAAAAGCGCTGTTTGCGTGCTTTGAGCCGGGAGTGAGAGGTGGATTGCAAACATCTGGAGAAGAAGTCTCTCAGCTTGTTGGTAATTAATCCTGCATTAAAGGCAGGACTCCTCTCACAGGGCTCTTCGCTGCTTACATCCATGTCGCCAATGATCTCATTTACGATGTCAGCTGCAACCACTTCTACTGGGGTTGCAGCCCGGAAACTTTGGCTTCCTGCGGCTCGTTTTGTTTCGTCCTTTTCTGTTAGAGTTTCTTCCTCATCTTTATCTGTCATCTCTCCATCTGAGCTCCTTGATGACAGAATCACAGAAATCTCTGCGATTGCTGATTGCACGGACATCTTTGAATCCGTACTTTCTGCACCGGAATCAGAGCCGCTCGACAGCTCACGTGCGTGCCTTTTAAGGCACGAGGCAGTGTGGCAAACCATGCGGTGCAGCTTTTTAAATTACTACATTTGCCGCTGACATAAACGGCGGGGTCTTGCGGGAGATCGGGGCTTTCTCTAATGAGTTTGACCGTTGAGTTGACCTTTTCGGAGATCTCTTCCTCAACCATCCGTGTCAGCTCGTCAGCGCTCTCATGTCGCTGTTCCGGGACGTTAAGAGCGCCGGCGATGGCGGCTGAGATGGAGACTACGAGGGACGGGCTTATTTTCCCCGCATCTTCCTTCATCATGCGATCCTGAATAACAGGAAGGGCATTTTTGAGGATTCTGCTAGAGGCTATCTGAATGATTTCACAAATCATATCAGCGAGCACCGCTCGGACGCCTGAGTCGCATGTGCCACTTTCTATCATGCTCCACTGAGGTCCAGAGAGCCTTTCGAAGCACCTGTTGATAGGTGGCACTATCTGGTCTGGTGTGACCAGGACTGAATTTTCATTTTCGCTGTACTCAAACCTTCAAAACACAAAACTAGAATGTTGCCAACTGGTTGTTACAGAGAATAATCCAAAGCAGACTTCAGGTTTACCTGTGTAGACTGAGCATCAGTCTACACAGCTGCTTTAAACACAACTGTAAAAAACACGTATCTGACATTATTCCGTCAAACTGTCACAACACGTGTTTTATTTAAGACCATTAACTCTGCTCCGACTGTATCGAGGCCTCGTCTGCAGCCTGTGAGCGGTTTGTACGCTGTTTTATTGAGGTCTCCTCCACCAGGGCTCAGATCTTTCTGCTCATGACCTCTCAGTCTCTGCTTCCTTTGAGCCAGTGACTGTCCGCTTTAAAGGAGACTGTTGGTCGTTTTAAGCCTGCAGGGTCTCCAAACGATGCTGCCCTTCCTCGACTCTTAAAACACGTGTTAACTGCAGTTGGACCTTTGCTTTTTGAGCAAACCACAGTTTGATGTCAGGTGTTGTCCCTAAAGATGTTAAACATGCTGTAGTCAAACCCCTGATTAAAAAACCTGCTCTTGATCCTATGACTCTTGTAAATTACAGGTCTATCTCCAAACTACCTTTTCTTTCCAAATGTCTTGAAAAGAGCTCACAGCCAATGAATGGCCTTCCTGGGAAAGCAAAATGTTTTAGATGTTTTCCAGTCAGATTTTAAACCCTTTCACTGAATCAGCCCTGTTCAAAGTTTTAAGGACATATTTTTAGCTCCTGACGCTCGGGACTGTGTTGTTCTGGTGCTTTTAGATTTGACAGCTGGCTTGATACAGTGCATCACGCCATATTGCTCTCTGGTTTGGAGCACGAGGGGCCCTGGAGTGGTTCAGGTCCTGCTTGGCAGGGTGAACTTTTTGTGCCGTGCTGTCCTCTGTGGTGTGGTGTCCCACAGGGCTCAGTTCTCGGCCCCCTCTTGGTTCTGTACTGAGTTAACTCAGTTGCATTGTATTCCCCTTTTATGCTGATGACTGAACACATACTCCACACAGCCACTACTTCAGTGTCTTGAAATTAAGGCTTGCATGTCTCTTAACTTTTTAAAATTGAATGACAAAAAGACCGAGGTGATGGTTTTTGGTAGCCCCACTGAGACCCCCAATATTTAGATTCCTTTGCCCAGCATGTTAAACCAGCTGTCACAAACCTGGGGGTCAAAGTGACTGTGATCTGACGTTTGGCAGTCAGATTGAGGCAGCTGGCTAAAGCAGGTTTTTCACAGCTATCCACGCCTTTGTTAGCACTCGGCTGCGTTACTGTAATGCACTCTATCCTGGGGTCAGCGCATCATATATTACTCGTCTACAGAGGAGGCAAAATGCCGCAGCTCGTCTTTTAACTGGCACTCGACAGTTTGAGCACATTTCCCGTTTCAGCTTCACTTCACTGGCTGCCAATACTTTTAGGGTTCATTTTTAAATTCTTTTATTTGCTTTTAAAGCTCTCCACGGCCTCGCCCCATCTCATCTCTCTGAGCTGCTACAGCCTCATACACCCACCCGCTCTCTCAGGCCAGCTGATCAGCTGCTCCTGCATGTACCCCGGACAGGGCGTAAACTTAGAGGAGATCGTGCTTTTGCTGTAGCAGCTCCCAAACTGTTTTTAGTTGGTTCTGTTGTTTTTTAATACAGGGCTGTTTGAAATGTTATTTTTTTTCTTAACATATCTGCTGTACAGCACTTTGGTCCTGTGCTGGCTGTGTTAAAGTGCTTTATAAATAAAGTTGGATTGGATAAAGTGTCCAAAGACATCCAGCTTGTGGGGACAGGTTGATTGGATAATCCAAATTGTCACTAGGTGTGAATGTATGAATGAAAGTCAGCACGAATGGTTGTCTGTCCCTGTGTGTTGGCCCTGCGACAGACTAGCGACCTATGACAGCTGGGATAGGCTCCAGCGCCCCCCGCGACCCTGAAAAGGATAAACGGAAGCGAATGGATGGATACAGTGCTGTGGGTGTTCCACAGGGACCACTTTTAGGACTCTTTATCTTTCTAATGTTTGCTAATAATCCGCACGGTTCTCTACATGCCGCTAACGCTTTCATGTGTTTTCAAAATGTGCCTCAAACATCAGATTAGCGAAAACTGAAAGCATTTATTTTACACACAGATTTTTCCACCCACAGCAAAATGCTAAACCTCTACACACACTGATGACTGTTTTACACAAAGACGTTACTAAACAGATAAATGCATCATTTTGTTAACTTTAATAATACTTTGTTTCCATTTCTCATGTGTTTGTTCCTCGTGTTCTATGAAACTAGCAGAGACAGAACTGGTGCAATGAGCCTTTAATTCACAACATGCAATAAATCACAACTTGTAGTTTGAACACATTTTAAAAATGTAGAAAAACAACTCGTGTTTGTGATGTCACTCAAACACTGTACACATCTTTTATTGTAATATAATAAAATCACAAGTCCAGCCTGATCGTGGCTCCTCACAGAAGTCAAGTGACCAATCCACACCCACAGAACATTAAGGCACTTTGGAGAAAACACTAAATGAACTACCAGGTGACCGTGTCCACTGGGCTCCTCGCTCTCATGTGTATACATTTATCCTAGTCTCGATCTCAAACATTCGATTCACAGATTCGGGAACTTTAAGAAGCAAACGTAAAAATCAGAATTAAAGGTTGGAGAAAGAAAACCTTTGAAACAGCTGTTAGGACGGCTGCTCCACGACCTGCTGTTACAGCTTTTCCTGGCGCCGCCCCGTGTGTCATCACAGGGAACAGCAGTGACGGGGTTCAGCTCAAACAAAAAGATTTAATATGAGCTGAATAATCGACCAAATGTATGCAGGACTTTAGTCTGTAGTAGAAACACAATCAGTGGCATTAAAAATGAAAAAAATAGACCTGAGACTAAAAGTTGCTGTTGAGTAAAATGTTTCCATGTGTGAAGCTTTGTTGGTCTCAAATGAAACAAACAGACTCGAGATTAAAGAAAGTCACGTTTCTCACTCACTATGTGTTCACAGACTCTCTGCATTGAATCATATCTGTTATTAACCTCTGTCTCTCCTCCACAGCATGTCTTTATCCTGTCTTCCTTCTCTCACCAACCAATCACAGCAGATGGCCCCGCCCCTCCCTGAGCCTGGTGCTGCTGTAGATGAATCTGTGGCATGTGTAGAAAACAGGGTCAAGACTTGTACAACTGGAAGACTTCCAAGTCTTGCCCAATTGCATATGAGCTTTGGCTGCTTTCCACTAAACTGGAACATTTGTACAAACAAATCTCACCTGGAGACCGAGTCGTTTCCCTCCGACAGTGAAAAATGTAATGAGCAGTAATGTATTATCAGCGGTCCAGATTCATAGCCAGTCTAATGAATGTTTCTGTCCCCCAGTGGACACGCAGCCATACATCAGGTCACTTTGCATCAGTGAGAATATCATCATCAAGCTGGAGCCAAAATAAATAATGTAAACAGTGTGGTTTGTCTATGGTGGAGCCTGGATCCATCAGAGTACTCGAGGCATGGAAATAACTGTAAACGCTCACAGCAACGCCTTCAAATAGCCTTCAGGAAAACCACATCGCTGTCCCACTCTGACTGACAAACACCTTCGTTTTGGATTCACGCAAAACATCCAGACGGAAAATTAAAGCCCAGCTTTAGGGTAAAAAAAATAAGTCCAAGGAAACAGAAACAAGAAAAGTTTGAAGTTTATCCCAAACTGGAAAAACAGCATAGTAAAATTCAACCATAGAAATAGTAAATACATACAAAACTCAAATGTAAATCTTTTCACGTGTTGTGATTTAACACGATGATGTAACGGCCTGCTGCAGTAAGCTTATCAGTGCATAAGAAACCAGACTCTTACAAATGAAGCTGGTGCAGACAGGAAACCAAAGAGGCAGCGAGCACAGCAAGTGAGCATGGTGCACCATTACGAACAGCATCACAGCGTGAAATAAAGCTTATGAGACACGTGACGTTAATGGGACGGGAACCCCTCCACACTGTGCGACCCTCAGGGGTTCAGGCCCTGACGTACCGGACTCACTGGGAGCAGGCAGGATGTGATGTCACTGTTGTGAAGTCAGTCCCTGCAGCCTATCAAACAGGCTGCAAGCGACGCCATCGTGTCCGCTGAGGCCGGCCCTGCAGGTCAGATCAGACCGCGTTACACTGTATGAGGAACTCGCAGTCTCTACCTGCAGGGTCACATGACTTCATGACCAGCTTCAGATAACGAAGAGCTGAGTGACCGCTCTTATTCAGTGTCTCAGTCAGTGGCACGTTTTACTACTGAAACCCTGTGGGCGGGGCTTGTACCCTGGACAGGTCACCCCACCTACGTCTTTGGACTGTGAGAGGAAACCCAGACAGGGAGAACATGAAGCTCCAACCGCTGCACCGCTAAGCCACCACAACCTAATTATGCTTTTTAAAGTTAGTTTATGAAGTTGTCTGAAGCTGAAAGCATTCGTACAAAAAGCTCACATGCTTTCATCAAGTTCCTACACCAACTAGAACATCCTGACGGTTCCCACGAGCAGGAACCCGTTACGATGTCACACAGTGTGTAGAGGCTCCAGGATCAGACACTAACGGGTATTTAAATGTACTACAAAGTACTGTGTAAACCTTCCACAGTTTAACATTCAGTTTGAATCCAATTAGAGGTCAGGCCTTCATTTGGTGCTCTGAGCTACTTCAGAGGAAATTTCAGACACATTCAGTGCACAGTCAGAAGCATCGCACAGTAAGGCAGTAATCTCAGGATTATCGTTACACACCGAATGGTTTTACTCGTTTGTTAACGACAGGTGGCAGAAAAGGGTCTAACTTTGAGCCTTTTTATTCTAAGAATTAAAGCGAAACCAGTTTGGGTTCTACGAAGAACACGCAGCAGAAAAGCTGGAAATGTGTTTTTCCTCCAAGACGTTCACAGCAGTTTATCTGCACACCTGTAAACTGGGATTAATCGCTAAAAACAATCAAACAATAAATGGCACTTTGTTATTAAAGACCAATAAGACAAGCAGCAGCTGTCATGTGAACACTGACGTGTTAGCATGAACTCCCCTCCTGTCCAATCAGATCGGCAGTGCAGCCGAGAAAAAATGGGCGTGGCATCAACAACAGTCATGCTAGGTCACGCTTGTTAGCTAGTGCTGCTATATTAACCTCTTCATTAAATTCATTTAATAAAATGTTAACTATGTATCAGTAATGCACAGTCAACAGAAAACATAAGCATGGTTTAACCATTTTCAACAAACTCTTAATTCTGTCTCTTCAATTTGTTTTAATAATCACTTAGCTGTAAGCTAACGTCTCGGCTAACGTTGGCTACCTGCCACATTTGGCGTCTCTGTCTCGATTCGTAACGATTGTTCACGTTAAAGTTTTTAGGTTCAGAGGTGTGACTTCATTTTCCACATAAGTTAAACTGAGCGTTGAGTCAATCAGAGATGTTTGCAGAGCTGACAGCCCAGAGATGCTGCGTGCGGTCGGAGCTAGCCGTTAGCGGGAGTGGACGTCACCGTGTGCAGATTAATAAAAGTTTTCTGTCACTGAGTGAAAGCACAGATTAAATAACTATGATCAAAACGAACGGGCTGGGAGAGGTGCGCAGAGATTGTGCTTAAACAGTCGGACGATTGTAAAACGGCTAACACGCTGCGCTCAGTGCAGCACATTGAATATTTACAGCATCTTTTCATTGTTAGCTCGTCTGTGCTTTCACTGATGTGGCGTTGCAATGACTTCTTTTGGAAAACACACATTCTCCAAAAATGTAGCTTCCAACATATAATTATAGATCCAAACACTTTTAAATGGATGATGTTTAATATTTACTACAATATGTCTTCTTCTGTCTGTAGATACACACTTTTAATCTCTTTGGCTGATTTGAATCCATCTCAGCGCGTCTGAACGAAGTATCATTGATCATTAATCACGTGAATATTTGGATAATCTGAATGAATCCATGTCATTACATTTATTAATCTGCACAGATTTCCACACAGTTCATTTTTAATCCTGATATAATTTATACATCGCTCTCTTTTGGCATCCTCTAAAATAATCACAGATGTGCTTTTTAAATACAAAATTCAGACTGAATTTTAAATTCAAATGGCTAAAAGTTTGGTTCTTTTAAGCACCGAGGACAGCTGAACAAAAAGAGTAATTACAATAATCTGCAGTTCCTGCTGAAACGTCTCTAAACTGTTCAGTTACAGATTGAATCCACGTCAGTGACATATTACATGTTCTTCCTCCATAACACAGACGCTGATGCTTTGGCCTTTATTTCTCTTATTGTCAGTAAGTCCCACAAGCAGACATCAAACACTGGAGCTTCCCACAGAACACCTCCCGACACACAAAAACATTCAGGTTTATCTCCTGTACATGTGTCTACGGGACACACGGCTCCCAGCTGTGGTCTGATTTAACGCGACACAAACTGAACCGCGTGTTTTCTGATGTATTTGTCGGGTTTTCGAGCATCTCAAGCAGAACAGCTGGAGACATTTGTCTTTAATGTAAGTGGGCGTGTCCATGAGTCAAACTGGTTCTTATATTTATCTGCAGCTTGTTTTGTAATATAAATGAACGATGACATCATTACTGACCCACATAATCAATGTGAGATTTTTTCAATCATTAAAACTTGCAACCTGTTTACATGCAGCGTCTTCAGTTTCCTTGAATCTTTAAAAATGACCCAGCTGGCTAAAACAAACTGAACCTCCAGCAGGTTAGACTCCGCCCACGGGCTTCCTGACAATCAAAGAAATAACGATTTCTGCCACGTGTCTTTACTCGCCAAAAATGACGATGTTTTGTTCTTTTGCTTTGTTGGCATGCCGACGTTTTACCTGTTTCATTTGTTAGCATGCTGCTGTTTTACAGCCCCTGAGTAAATTTTTAGCATGCTAACAACAACATTAGCATGCAACTCGTGTTTGAGTGATAAAAATATTTCAACACTAATATTTTAAAGTAGAACTGCTGTAATTTTAATGCATCTGTGGTCCAAACTGCTTCTGCAGAGCTCGAGGAAGTTTCAAAGGAGCAGAAGGATGGGCGCTGTAAACCGTGAGGACACGCTCATTTATGGCACACAGCAGTGCGAGGGCGCCATCGCTTTAGAGCCCACGCCTCATTCTTAAGGACAAAGAAAGAAAACAACAGGAATGATGGGAAATGTAATAAAGGTGACAATTCCAGGTGACTGTGCTGTCGTTCATTAATGAAGATTACCGATGGTTCAAATGTGACCCAGAGCACCGTTACCATGGAAACGTGACCACAGCGGTCCGATTTAACGAGGAAGTAAAGGAATGACACTGACTGCTGTCCCGTCCAGCCGGTGCTGCGTCGGCGCTCCTCTGCAGTAAGAGTTATGATCACATCGATTTATCCAGGTGGTCGCTTGGCAGAGAAGAACCAGGACACAGCAAACTGCCAACACAGCCATCTGACTCCATCATGACGGGACGCTTTTTACATGGCTGCAGAAAAGCATGATGGGAGAAACATGCGGGGAGAGAGTGTTAGAGTCTCAGGGCAGTGGAAGTAATTGCTGTCATGTGGATCGGCCTCATATCTTTGGATGTGGCTCGAAGAAAACAGTTGGCTCACTGTTTGGAAAAAAAAAGCACTTTTAACTGATTAGCATCGTTAGCATCGTTAGCATTCCTCAGGGAAACCCTCCTCTTATCACAGGGAACTCAGCTCGAGCAGGGAGGTGCACGCTTGCATTATTTATACGATAACAATGTTTTAAATGTGGTACGCAGCCCCCTTCAGTCCAACTGTGGACAAATATGCACCAGTCAGGTGTAACATAATGACCGTGTGCCTAATGTTGTGTCGGCCCCCCTTTGGCTGCACCCATCGAGGCTGTGCTGTGGGTGGAGCCTCTGCAGATTGGACCGTTTGTGCAGCACCTCGCACTGATGCTCGTGTGACTGAGGTGGCCCGTGACCCCGTGACCCCTGCTCCTTCCTTGGAGCCCCGCAGGAGATGCAGTGTCGCAGCTGCTCTGAGCCAAACTGTCACAAATCCTCACGCTCGTCCGATTTCCTGCCTCTAACATCGACTTTGAGCACAAAACGCTTACTTGTCCCTGAATGCACTGCAATTTAACAACATGCTTCACTTGAAACGTGCTCATAAAAAGCAGATGAGGCCATGAAGGTTTGATTCTGCAGCGCGTTAAAAGGACGACACCCTCGCCCAGCGCTGGAGACGTTTAACCCAAAACCATGAGAGCAGGTAACAGGCTCAGACCAGAAGCAGGTGAAGGACAGCACCTACCAGACTGAGGCCCACAAGCCACGCTGTAAGACGTCCACAAGTTCACGGCCATCAGGAAAGTCGCTATGAATCCAAACACCTGTGAACGAACACACAATGCGTTACAAACACCTTTCAAAGTAAAGCTGCTCAAGTCTACTGACGGATCGCACTCAGCTCAGAGAAGTTCAGGCAGGACCAGATTTCTGTTCTCAGGAAAGAACTTAATGTGACGTCCTGCGTGATCAGAGGGAGGACTCGGTCTGCAGGAGCCACACACAGCTGGTCTGCTGCAAAGTGACACAACGCGAGTCTCGCAGTTGTGCGCTTACGTACCGATCCGGCCACCAGCGCTGAAACTCCACCGCTATTCGCCGAGGCGATGATGGAGGCGATGAGGATGAGGATGCATCCCACAGAGTAATGGAAGAACTCCTGAAACAGCAGAGGAACAATAAACATTTCTCAGCATCTGTCAGCACCTCGTGTCCACCACAGAGGAGCTCCGAGCCTTCCTCAGAGCTCCGCTTTAGTGAAGGCTTCAAAGTCGGGTCTGCTTCTGAAACCAGGATGCAAACATTCACTCTGCCGGAGCTTCAAGTCCCGTTTCACTCGCACGAGTTTTCATAGATTCATTAATAAATACCGCTGGACAGGAAGTGCTTTTAATTTCCAGCACGTCTCTCATCTTGCAGTCGAATGAGCTTGCTGAGAGTTCAGCACAGGAACCAGACCTGCACCGCAGCTGCTGGACTTTCAAAATAAGAGCAAGGGCCTGACCGCTGCGTACAGATGTGCAGAGGATGCTGGGGGTCGGGTGACATGGAGGCAGGTGCTCTGCTGTGGAGCTTTATTAGTACTGCTTACAGCTGAGCAGACTGCATGTATGTGCAGCGTCCACATGAAGATCAGCAATCATCTCACAATGTTTAACATTTCTCTGGATTCAACAGAACAGGAAGAGGAAGTCTCGCCATGTGTGGAAGCATAAATCTGAGCCGAGCGACTAACAGCTGCAGGGTGATGTTTCGTCTCAGGCTGAGATCTCCCAGCACGTTTGGTGCTCATGAACCTTTTCAAGGTCACAAAGCTCTCAAAAGGTTAAGGAACAATTTGCAGCAGCTGATTTGTTTCATTTTGATCCAAAGTCTGAGATTTGCTCTGAAAATCACCTCTGCTCACGGCCGACTGGTCAGGAAGGTAAACGAGGGACTGCTGGTGCACTGCAAGCATCCGCACATCAGAAGCTCTCTTCCTTCCTTGAACTCCACAGAGAAGCCAGAGGAACATTTGGGTTCTTCTGGCTTCTCTGCGTTGCATAACAGGAGCTTCCTGTTACGCTACGCTGAGAATCAAACGCTCAAGTCTTTGTTGCAGAAGTTTGGCTGAAATGCAGAAGCGAGACCGACACAGACGGATGGAAGCGTCGCTCCTCTTACCGTCAGCGGCCAGTTGATGCAGGGCATCCTCGTCTGCAGCCTGCACAGGTGCATGAGGAAGAAGATGAGGAAGGCTACGAGGAACCACAGCGTCACCACCTCGAAGTACTGGAAGGCCGGCCAGCTGGGCCAGCCGCGAGTGCAGAACACACACAGGAAGGCGATGAGCAGGGAGATCTGGCAAAAGGGAAATTCATTTTAATATGTGCTTCCTTTGCATTAGAGGCGAGCAGCAGTTTGAGGACGTGCATCACATGTTTTTGCATCTGCTTGTTTAAACAAGCAAAAGAGAAGAAAGCGATGCGCCGCGTTCACGGCCGACGGTTTTCACAATGAGTTTTTATTTTCACACAATAGATAGATAGATCATTTGGTTCTGGCAGCTTCAGCTCAGGTAAACGCTGTGTGGGCATGTGTGCAGGCTGTGGCTCTGATTGGCTCTGTGGCTCTACACTAACTTTTTGCCACTAAATGTTTTTCTTAGGCGCATCAGCACAAAAGTTAGGCGCACCCAAAGCTTTCAACCGCATCGCCTAACGCTGCAGTTTTACATGTGCACTTTTAAAGGGGAAACTGATGTCACAGACAATATTCATTTGCAAATGATTACCTAACAATCTTATGCTTGTCCTTAAAGTGCGTGGCTCTCTTTGGTAATGCTGCAGGCAACGCTTTAACCTGAGATTCTGACGTTTCTGGCAAAATACGTTTATATTTAAAAGTCCATTCAGGATTTAATGACTCGATATTGGATATCTATATCAGAGAGGTCCCGCCCCTGACTATCTCTGATTGGTTTAGACCACGATAGGGGCATAATGTGTGTCTGACCACGGAGACGTTCAGAGTTGCAGAGACCTTTTTTTTTCTTTTTAGTTGCACCATTAAAAAACTGGTGGCACTCCAGAGCCCTGCTCTGTTGCCACAGAAACTCTGATATTTGGCTCACATAAGCAGGAGTTGCTCCTGATGTGACGGCACAGCCTGAACCAACCAGGCCAAATGTGGCAGAAAGCTGTAAACATGGTTGTTCTGGGTCAAACAGCTGTTGGGTCCGAGTAATCGTTCAGCAGCCGATTTGTGTTTTTGTTTTAGTTCAAAGAATATTAGAATATTACCAAACCCTCCAGCGTCGTGGTCTCAAAGGAACACGTTTCAGACTGTTGACAGTACACGTGTTGGAGTACACGTGTTGGAGTACACATAGGAAACTGCATACAAACCACCGTGTTCAGAAATAATGAAGGAGGCGAGCTTCACTCCTGCAGGTCTGTTCTGAGACGGCGTTAAATGGTAAATGGTCTGTATTTGTACATCGCTTTACTTGGTCCTAAGGACCCCAAAGCACTTTACACAACCAGTCATCCACCCATTCACACACTGGTGATGGCAGCTACATGTAGCCACAGCCACCCTGGGGCGCACTGACAGAGGCGAGGCTGCCGGACACTGGCGCCACCGGGCCCTCTGACCACCACCAGTAGGCAACGGGTGAAGTGTCTTGTGCAAGGACACAACGACCGAGACTGTCCGAGCCGGGGCTCGAACCGGCAACCGTCCGATTACACGACAAACTCCCAACTCTTGAGCCACGATCGCCCTTTAAAGGTTTTACACAGACGGTCAGACTCACCGGACACTTTATTAGGTACACTTGTTCAGCTGTACGCCAACACAAATATCAGCCAATCACATAGCAGTGACTCACTGAGACGACCTGCTGAAGTTCAGAATGATGGAGAAAGGCGACCTGAGTGACTCTGAACATGGTTGTTGGTCTGAGTGTGTCAGAAACCGATTTCTGAGCTGACAGGAAGGCACCAGGACCTCGAATACAGCACGATCTGGCATCCTCGTGTCGGTGTTGTTCCCACATCATCATCATAAATGTTCCAGGTTCAACATTGCGAGTGACCAATCACATTGTTGTGACGTCATACTTTTGCAAGCCGAGCGATTCATTCATTTCCGAAATTTCAATGTTGCAAAGACAACATGCATAAATCTTACCGTTTGTTACAGAACAGCATCCTGAAATGCAAAGATTCAAATCGCTGCATCGGAGGACAGAGGCCGTTACGCAGACTTTTTTTTTACAGCGCTTTTTTTTACGAAGTCGCAAAAGTGTGACATCACAACAATGTGATTGGTCACTTGCAATGTTAAACCTGGAACAACATTTATGATGATGATGTGGGAACAACACCGACACGAGGGTGTCAGATCATCATGATGAACACTCGTTACGACCATCGCATGCAGAGCATCAATGAACGTGTGGAACATCGAGCAGATGGGCTACGGCAGCAGACGACCACACCAGGTGATCAGAGAAACGCTGCCTGGTCTGATGAGTCTCCGTTTCTGCTGCAACCGTCAATGATGGAGTCAGAGTTTGAGGAAGCAGCATGAAAGTGTGGATCCACTCTGGCCTGTTTCAGCGGTAAGAGCTTCACCGAAACGCCACAGCCTGCCTGAGTGTGGCATCCCTTTTTGACCGGAGTGTACCATCTTCTGATTGGCTGCTTCCAGCAGGATGACGCTCCATGTCACAAAATCATCTCACTGTGATCACATGACCAAAGCCCCTGAGAAATGTTTCCAGCAGCTTGTTGATTCTGAGCCATGAAGAATTAAAACATCTCTAATAAAGTTGCTTGTGAGTGGGTCTAACGGTGCTATTATAATAACACGAGGACACGTGAAACAGCTGGAGAGGTCCCCTGTAAAAGCCTGGGGGTCTGTAGCTGTCTCTGAGCCCCGGGCCCCGTTTTCTGTTCGCCCGTCCCTGTCTGGGTGGAAGTTTTTACGAAAATCAATATTTCTCCATCAGGAGCCGATCACTCCGAGCATCACAGGCCGATCAATAACAACAACAGTCGTTTAAATATTTCACAGTTAAAGTTTCTCGTGTCTAAATCTTTAGAAAACCAGGCGCACACAAACCCGGGTAGAACCGGGTAAAGCCCGGGGTTTGTCCACCGGACCGACTCTTACCAGCTGTCCGATCTTGAGCAGTCCCGGGATGGTCTGGGTGTAGCCCAGGTTCAGGCCGCTCTCCCCGGATGTCCTGGTGGTTGTTGTCGTGGTGATGACGGTGTGAGACATGATGCCGGTAAACAGCACGGTAAATGAAACGTTTAAACGAGTTTAACCGCAGCGGAAAGTCACCGTCGACCGCGCGACACGGCACAGCCCCTGTTTTTATCGCTGACGTCAACGCGCAGCAGATAAACGCGACTGCTTCCGGGATATATTTCATAATAAAAGCACTGACAAAACCCCGTCCTCTCAAAACACTTCAGTGTGTATTGATATATTCTCAGTATAATAACAGTAGCATGTTTTTAATTTAATTTGTTTTTTGAGTGTATTTTTCTGAGTGTGTCTGAAATATCAATTTTTGTGAGTTCCATAGACTGTATATAAAGATGGACACCACCACTTTGATGTCACCCCCTGGTTTTGGACATTTTAGAGCCTTGTTTTCTTATTAGTGTACATCCACACACACATATGTCTGCTAATCAGTGTTCAATAACATCTTATCACTCTCCTCCTTCACAGGTGAGCCACTCTGACAGAAACTTTGCAGATCATTGCAATCATTGAGATTGGGTCATTAACATTTATTTTAAATCACAGTTCGTTCGATTTTCGTGTAAATTCTGGTCATTTCATCATCCTCTGTGAATAAAATGTCGTGTTCTGCTTTTGCATTTCTTTCATGTGTCAAGCTCAACATACATCACCCGTATATGACTCAACAATCACCAAAGCTTTGGTGTACCCTCAGTGAAATCCTTGAATTTCAGTCACTAAAAACTGGAGCTCCGCCTTCTTGAACACTCTGTTAGTACATGACCTCACAGCAGACATGTTATTGGCCACATGATGTCATTAAAAATTCTCCAAAATGCTCCAGCGGCACAAACACCGTGCAGAGGTCCAGTTCAGGGACTCCAGCCACACCCTGTGACCATCCAGCTGTTAGTCAATGACTGGCCACGCCCATAAATTTAAGTCTCAAAACTCACAGATAAAAAAAATCAATTACTCGGTTACAGTTGTTATGAAGGGGGAATCTGTAGAGACCAAGCAGTTTATATCTTTGCTGTAAAGTTTAACATGGGAGTCTATGGGGACCGACTCCCTGCTGCCCCTGCTGGACATCACAGGAACTGCATGTTGTGGTGATTTTATCTCATTTATTTATTGTTGCTTGTTTTATAATAAATGAAATTTGATTTATAAAAATAAGTAAAAATGATCAATTAAAATTATATTAAAGCTGAACGTCAAGTTTGATGTTTGAGGTGTTTATTCTAACTCAAACACGGCTCTCGTTTTGTTGGTGAATTTGATTCTTTTAATTTTCCATCACATACTTCATGATCCATCATGATTCAGAAAATAATGTGGGGAGATCTCTGATAAGACCATAGTTTGTTGTTAGGATACCTAACAGGAAATTAAACAGCTGCTAGAGAGTCAGTAATATCACTGAATCCCATCAATATTTATGTCATTGTAATATTGTGGTTTCTGTTATTTCCCTTTACATGTGAGAGTCATTTATAAGATAACTTTAATCAGTCTGAGACGGCTGCAGCAGACACACACAATCATGAGTGGTGCCTGATAACGCTGGACTTCATGTTGTTTTCTGACTGAAACATGCTGTGAGTCTGCTTGTGTTTGTTTGGCCTTTATTTTGAAGCAGACATCCTGTGTGTGCAGGTTTTTGGGTGGCTGAGGTGTCAGCGTTGACCTGTGGGCTGAGTGGAGGTGTGGTCTCTGTCAGGAAGCACTGCAGCAGCAGCTTCCAGAGAGGCACGAATGTTCCCGAGCAGCAGGACAACAGAGCTGCTGTCAGGACGTTTCCCTTTAAACTGAACACACGCACACACACACACACACTCCTCCATTCAGAGCTCAGCACCATTTTCTCTGTTTTCTGTTTGAATATTTCACGTTTAAGCAGGAAACATGAGATAAAACCTTCGTTTTAAAGAGTGTGCAGACGTGCAGACGTGCAGACCAGCTCACGAGACAACAGTGAGATAAATATAGAGGAGTAAACTACGTCAGTCGTCTGAACACACACAGGGCGGTGATGCTCGCCTGCATCCTGAGGTAACAGAAAACGAGCTGAAGTTCATTAATCACACTCTCTCAGGCTGAGCTGCGAATACGAATTTTTCTGATTTCAACTCGATCTTCGTGGACAGACGGACACGAGGTTTCTGCGCTTCTGCGATGGATGCAGCTCAGGTTCACTACATCAGCTCTGTACATGACCAGAAATGGGAGGAGCTACAGTTGAGCTGTTGTGCTTTAGAAGTACAAAATCAATCATTAAGCACATCACGCTCGCCAGCTTGTTTCTGTGCCGCGTTCACGAGTACAGATCATGTTCCTGTGCAGGTGATAAATGCTAAACTTCTGTGCACCACAGAGCTGAGAGGTGGTGCCTGTTCCAGTCACCATCCAGAGCTCCCAGTCAAAGGTGAGGGTGGGGGCGTGGATCGACCTCTGAGTCGACAGCTTTGTTTTTACCACCACAGGCCGGTACGGCGTCCACTTCACTACAGAGGCGTCACCAACTCATCATAGAGGAGACCCCGAGACACTTAAACTCGGACCCAGCTCAGACTGGAAGTACTAACTCTCAATCCCAACACTGCACATGTAGCTGTGAACTCTCAGTGCAAGCTGGACGCCACCCGGAGAAGCCAGGCGAGTCACAGAGATGACCACCACAGGGAAGCACCACCCGGCTCCACGAGAACACTTGACAAGCTGCAGCATCACGAGCCGCTGATGCGACAACGTTACTGTGTGACGGCAGAACATCGCAGACAGACGTGAGAATGCTTTTCTATCGCCGGCTCTAACGAGTCCGTTTTTATCTTTCTGTTTAGTCTCAGGCTGGTTTTGTTTCAAGGACTCTGTTTGTGATCAAACGGTGACGTCTCTGTTTCAGAAGGCAGGAGCTGGAGGAGTCTTCGACTAAAATGCTCTCAGAGCATCATTCATAATTCAGACAGCGCCCTCTGAAGCACTAAACCTGAAGGAGAAGGAGACGCACATCAGCACAGCTGAGCTGCAGACTGAAGATGCTGCTGTGGTCCGGCCTGCTGCGAGGCTGCAGTTGTTTCTGTCACTTTCATGTCCGCAGCAGCTCTTTCTTGAGTCTAATCTGACAGTAATATAAAGTTTTATGTGAGGACTATTGAATTATACTGATGGGAAAAGTCCCACACAGAGGACACGCTGAACACGGCAGGATTAGAGGACGCGTGTTTGCTGCCGACTTGTTGTTGGCGTGGCCGCTGACGCTCACTTCCTCTCCCGAGCCTCGTATGAGGTTTGTTTTTTGTAAATCCTAATAAGGTGTGTGACATCATACGTGGTACGGGGCGATTCTGTGGATACTTCAAAGCTACGATATAAAAGCGCTGCTGATGCGAGCCAGCGTGTTTCCGTCTGGTCCAGCGGTCTGTAGGTGAGCAGTGGAAGCTTCTCTGTGTCTGTGGGTGGGCCGTCAGCTCCTCTGCTTCCCTTTCTGTAAATTCAGCGCACGTCACTGCAACAGAAAATGAGAATGCCCTTTCACAGGTGAAGACTTCAGGCGCTGTCTGAGATTACTCCCACGGTGGGTGTTATGTGGGGGGTTGCTGAGAAAAGGATAAACCCACGTCGCTGTCTCCAGAGTCTTCGTGATACTTTTACCTCTAAAATACGTCGTCCTTCTTGCCGCGCTGGTCAAAGTAAGCATTAAGTGACTCACTGACTGATATAGAACAGAGAATGACACAATAACCACAGACAGCTTCGACTTCCTGTCTCATGTGAACATGAGCGCAGGGCTGAAGCACAGTAATGTTCACGGAGGCGCTGCTTCGACCGAGGTACGCCTGAGCAGCAACTGCAGCACCGAGCATGAAGTTTCACAAGCTGCAGTCTCTGTGATGGAGCTGCCTCCAGCAGCGTCCTCAGAGACTTTAAGTCAGTGGTGTCCAACTCCAGGCCTCGAGGGCCGGCGTCCTGCAGGTTTTAGATCCCACCCTGGGTCAACACACCTGAATCACATGGTTAGTTCATTAGCAGCATCTGGAGAACTTCAGGACATGTTGAGGAGGTCATTTAGCCTTTAAATCAGCTGTGTTGGATCGAGGACACGTCTAAAACCTGCAGGATGCTGGCCCTCGAGTCCTGCAGGTGTTAGATGCGTCCTTGAATAAATCACAGCTGATTTTAAGGCTAAATTTCCTCCTCAGCATGTCTTAAAGTTCTTCAGAGGCCCAGTAATGAACTCATCATGTGATTCAGGTGTGCTGACCTGTGGGATGCCAGCGATCGAGGCCTGGAGTTCGACACTAAATGTTAATGGACTGATTCTTATATAGCGCTTTTCTTCTTGGCATCCAGACTGGAGCAGACTGGGATCAAACCATCAACCTTCTGGTTAGTAGATGACCTGCTCCACCACCTGAGCTGCAGCCAGCCTGGAGGCAGTAGAGGCTGCGCTTGTTTTACAACAGTTTGGCTCGTTAGACTGGAGCCACTTTCATGACGGCGTTTGTGCGTTGGAGTCTTTTTCATGTAACTATCCAACCACACGTGGCTCCACAAAACCAGCACAGGCAGAATCCATCTTCATCCAAATGCAGCTGATTTTCCATTTAGGGCGCGTCACACCTGATCCTGTTTGAATGGAAGCTGCGTGCGGCCTTTTCATGAATCTCCATTTGAACGATTACAGAAAGAAGCGATGAGACTGTCGGAGCTTCACCTTAAGTAACACGTACGTTTTGTGCTGTGTTTGTGGGTTTTAACACTGACGTGTGCTGTCCTGCTGGCAGCGGGCAGGTGGGTTTTTGTAAGCTGGTGTTGCTGAAAGCAGCCTGCACGGAAAGCGAGGCCCAGAACAGCCCGTGTGCCCCGACCCGGCTCTGCCATCAACACGTCCTTCATCCTGGGCCTTCGGTGGTTCACGGTCTGCACCGCCATGCGCCACTGCACGAGCTGGAAAATTCAAAGAGACAAACAAGCTGCAAAAACGACAAAAACGTCTTTTCTTCAACTCCGAAAGTGTTTTTTAACACCTTTCATGTTCCCATAGTGACGTAACAACTGTTGCTTCACACTTTCAACCACATCCTGTGGCCACAAGGTGGTTAAACACATACCAACATGAACTGAAACACACACACTCGTTTTCATGTCTTACTGAGGACGTTTGATTGACATAATGCCTAACCATGAAAATAAACCGAACTGTGACCCTGCAGCTAAAACCACACTTTGAATCTCAAACATGCTTCAGACTCGTGGGGACGGACACTTTGTCCCCTCCAGTATGGTGGCACGCCAATCTTCTGTCCACACAAAGATGTCCAAACAAGTACACACACACACACACACACACACACACACACACACACACACACACACACACACTCACACACACACACACACACACACACATGCAGCAGCAGGAAGTGAAGCTCAAAGCTGCAGCATCTTGTGGAGTTCAGGTTGAAAACCAGCCGGGCAGAAACTGACCGGACGATGCTGCGCGTTGGTTTCACATGACGACAGCACACATGTGCCGAGGAATCAAACCCCAACCCAGCCTCACATGAACCACAACATCCGCTCTTGTACCCACAAAGGGTTTTGGTTTTTTATCTTGAAGCTAGTTTAACCTGCTGAAACAAACCAAACTACCAAAATAAAAGCACAGCATCCGTGTCACCCCTGCAGTACCGAACTCCTCTCTCCTGCGTCACTGGATTGTTGGATTGTAGTTATGTCAAGTGGTAACGGCTCTACTTTATATCTCCTGACCAAACGCTCAGTGTGCTTCTCCCGCTCTGCTTCCTTACTGGATCTCTCTCTGACCTCTGACCTCTGTTTGGAGGAAAGGACCTGCCCCCTCTCCCCTGTCCTCACCTTAGCTGCCTGAAACCAAACCTCAGTGTTCTTGTTCTCAGCGTTGTACTGTACTTATGTGTTGTGGGAGTGTGCACGTGCTCGTGACTCATAACTGCAGAGCAAACCTTCCTCCGCGTACAAATAAGGTGACACGGACTTCCTGCAGTTTCATTCCTGCGCTGCTGTAAATAAATCATCTCTGAGTTTTCATTTGACTTCGTTAAAATATTATGAAAAGCTCACATAAAACCAGTAAAATGTGTCATAAAAAAATCAAACCTGAAACAAAACCAGCTAAATGACCTGTGATACCAACTAAACTGTATAGTAACGATAATGATAATATGTGCTTTGACATGAACCACAGTCACAAATGTGACATGAATTGAAAATAAATGCTGTGAAACCCAAAAGGGTTCACAAAGCTGGGCACATAAGTCTGTGTGGGTCGTCGGTCCTCTGTGGGATGAGTTGGAGTCACAGTGGGACTTCCTGCTCTGGGCCTTTGGCTTTGTGCTGTTTCAGTGCTGCTGCAGCTCTGATCAAACACATTATTGTTATTAACACTGACGCTCAGACGCATGACGGAAAACAAAGTGAGAGAGACCTCCGACCGTTTCCACTGAGCGCTCTGAGCCCGGTGTTTAAATCGATCTCTGGCGCCCCCTGCTGGACATGTGTTGGACGCAGACAAACGCCTCCTGGTTCAGACTTTTAAAGGACATTTAAAGCAGGAAAAAACAGCAAAATACTCAAAATGAACGACTCAGATCTGTAATATCAACTTTAATCTTCTCTTTGTTATCAGCAGCTCTAACATGGTTATCAGCCTGCAGCCATGTGAGCATCACACAGGCACACCTGTGCTGTTAGCGGACATTAGCGGAAGTGCAGGCTGTGATCATGTGACCTCGCGAGGATGATCTGTTGATATTGAAAATAGTGTGAATAATAAAGATGTGTGTGAGAATAAGAACAATAAAAACAAAGGAAACGAAGAGGTGAGCACAAACTCAGCATCAAACATTAAAAGCTCTGATGGAAAATAATAAAACAAAAACAAGAGGACACACGGGAACAGATAAAGGAGACGAGCGCACAGGAATCACTAGATGTTAAACAAAGAGGACAAGACAGACGAACACAGAACAAAGGAAAAGACTCATAAACACAGAGATGAAACATAAGCTAACATTATCTCTCTATATAATAAACAATCAAAACACCAAAATAACTCAAAAAATGCTGGGACACAGACGCAGCCCCTGACAATGTATTAGAAAGATTATTCAGAAGTTTATAAAATCACAATCTCAAGGCCCAAATATTTAAAAAATGAACCACCTGATGTCAAAACGCAGTAAAAGTCCAGTCAAATCGTGACTATATAAAATATCACAAACTTCAAACGAGTCACCGATTATTAAAGGTTTCATAGTTTTTTATCAGAACGCTCAAACAGAAATGCAAACTGGACGATGGATCGTCCACGGAGGATGACTGAGGCCCAGTGTGAGATACAGAAGGATTATTTTGGACTATGAATTATGCAAAGCTGCTCTGGCACCTGTTTGTATTATTGGTACAATATTTTACCTTACAATATAAAACTCATTGAGCCATCCGTTGTTGTGATTTGGCGCTATATAAATAAACCTTCTGTCTTCTGTTCTGCTCTCTGTGTTTGTATCTGAAGCGGAAAATCATCGTCAGCGGGTCTCAGCCTGTCCAGCTGAACGAGAGCAGCAGATGGTTTACTCAGTGGTCACCGTGCACGAACCCGCCTCCTGTGAGTTCTGCCCGAGAAACAAAGCTGCCTTTTAATAATGTGGTTAATTACTTTATCAACGGTCTTCATTTTTGCACCTTTTCTTTTTTATGTTTATTATTCATTCTTTATTACATGATTATATTTGTTTGTTTTGTCACATTAGTCTAGGGAGCGTTTTACTAATATATTTACTTCAGTGAAAATATCAGTGACATACTAACGATGTTTCACTGACGTCGGGGCAGCATGAGTACGAGCATTTTTCTTTTTGCCGATGCCCGTGATGCCGCCCCCACCACGATGCCGCCCCGGGCAACCGCCCGTGTCGCCCGTATCTAAAACCGCTACTGGCTCAGTGTGTTGAGCGGGCGACTACATACCATACAGCTGACAGCAGCCAGCCCAGGTCCCACTCTGGTCCACGCTTTCCTGTCCTTTATTCACCGTGTCTATCAAATAAAGCTGAAAGAGGCCAAAACAACTATTTAAATGGATAATCTAGTCTGCATATGATCAGAAATTTAAAGGACTCAACGTCTGTCTCAGTAGGAGCGACTGAGCCCATAAACTCATCACAGTTGGTGAGGCAAAGGATCATTTTCCTGTAGTCTGCTTTAGGAATTTAAGTCTTTTTCCAAATACATGTATCGCCCCCTGGTGGCAATTAGAAAGAATCCATGTTTCAGACACTTTCATACTCGGGAGCTACGTCCATCTTTTATGCTGTCAGAGAGATCGACTGAAGGGCTTCACCAATGCCCAGTATGGGATAAAGGAGGATTATTTTCCACTGTGAATCATGCAAAGCTGCCCTGGCAGTAATTAGCAGGTATCAGTGGCTATCCACACAGTTAATGCATGCAGCCTGACATCAAGCTTGCTACCCTAAGCTAACACTCCACCTTCTCGCCCAAACATGGTCACTTCTGTTTCCAAAAACCAGCACGGTTAAAGCCGAAAGACTGATGCTGACGATTAAAACCAGTCAGAAACCAGTGGGTGATGTCACAGTGGAAACATCCATCTTTTATATACAGTCTGTAGTTTTCCTCCAGAAAAGGTTAAAAACAAACAGTTTGCTCAGTGTTTGCTCATTTTCTACTTTAGCTCAAACTTTCTGTAATTGCTGCTGTTTGTCTTCAACAACTCATAACTTTTATATTTACCTGATTTTTTTTCTGTTCTCGTCTCTGCACCTGAAGTGGAAAATCATCACCGGCAGGTCTCAGCAGGAAGAGAAGAGGAGCTTCAGGAGGTTTATTCAGAGGCCATTTCTATATCCTGTGAGTCCTGTGAGAACAGGAAGTTATTATCTCTGCTGACCTTATTTGTCATTGACAGAAGCAGCTTCATTCACACAAGCTGCTCCCAGACTTATTGTGACTCCTGCAGAATTCAGGTTTTACTTTGAAACAATACTTCAAAGTACTGTTTCGAATTTTCACTTAGTGCAGCTATTTTCAGATAAATCAGCTTCCTGCATGCAAACTACACGACAACAGCAACCTGCCAGTGACCGAAGCAATCACAAGGAGGTTTTTGGTGAAAAAGCATGAATCTGTTTGCAACCGATTCTCACCCAGTGACAGCCAGCAATCTCCAGCAACCAGATGCCAACTGGTCTCTAGACGCGTCAGATGGTTTAACCGTGTGGTTCAGATGAAACACAGCCCGTGGTCATTCTGGTGTGTGGACGCTGTGTCAAACAGACCTGAGATCAGACTTTAACGGCTGAACTGTTCTTTGTTTCAGGCGACTTGTACTCTCCAATGAACATCCACGACTGAGCGAGGTATTAAAAACACTCTGATTAACTTATAAACATTAGGGGTGCAACGATACACAAAATTCACGGTTCGGTTCGATACTTTGGTGTCACGGTTCGATATTTTTTCGATACAAAAAAATGTTCATGCCTTTTTAATTTGTCATTTATTAAAATTATAAATATATATTTTAACTCAAAAGTACAGTTTTTAAATTTAACCCTAACCCTTGTGCGTGTTTTTTATTTTGACAGCGAATGCGCACCTGCGGACCACTTATGTGCAGCCCTGGTTATTTAGCTCGTCATATTGCAGCCACAGAAATTCTTTTGTCCATGAAACCATAAAGCTGCACTTTCTTTTTGCCTTATAGTCTGATTTGTCATAACTTCTCCGTTTTGTGGTAAGCTTTTCTTTGGCTGTCACTTCTTCACCCTGACCTGTCTTATTTGGCTCAGCAGAACTAAAATATAAATCCTGCTGCTTTTACACACGCACTCACATAAGCTCAGCGATTCTCTGCGCGATCAACCTCTCACATGTTTAAGCTGCGGGAGATTTCACTTGTCATGTTTGCATAGTAAGCTAACGATTAATAAGACGATGTCAGAGGAATTGGTGCACAAATTATCATCACTCACAGATCAGTGCTGTCGCTCTCTATACACAGTTCGCACGATTGCAAAGTGAAAGCAAAAAAACAAGCGCAAATTCAAACGCGATTTCAATATGTCACATATTGACAGTGGCTCACCGATGCCAATGACATAATTACCCAGCTACATTTCTGAAAGAATGCAAAAGCATTGACATATATTTTTCTACAATAGCCCGACGGGCAGGGAAGAGATAGATTTTGGTAGCCCGACTGAAAAAATCGCTAGCCTCCGGGACGTCGGGCTAGCGATATTGCGAGCCCTGTATCTGATTGAGGAATCACTCATCTTTGGAAAAGAGAGTTTATTACAGAGAAATGTCTCTTTCCAAAATAAAAGCTATACTATCCGCTTCTTCTGGGCTATATTCTCAGCAGCATAAGGAGAATCATGTGCTAACAGCTGTCTAAATGACTCGGCTAAAGTTAGTAGCATGCTTGTTGTTTTTGTCTTTGCACTAGGATGATGTCGGCGTAAATGTGCAGTCATATTCGTTGTGTTCCCACTAGTGCTTTCAGGTTAATCTCGTTGAAATGACCTTAACGCCACAACACGGCAAATCTCCGTTAACGAGCTACCGCCGATCGCCCCGTGCATGGGGCTAGACGGCCAACACGTTAACGAGCTAACTGCGCTAACACACTAGTTCACACCAATGTAATTGAGCATTGCATGGCACATCCAACATACTGTTTTACTTTAGTCCATGACTCGCTTACCTTCAGGGTCATACGTCACATGAAAACCAAAATAATTCCAAACGCCAGATCTGAATGAGGTGGGGGAGGTCCATGTTGCAAGGAGAGCTTAACTTCTGTCTCGCTAGCTTGCCCTGCGCTCTTCCTTCTGACGATGCTGTCTGTGTTGAGCGCTCAGTGGATCTGCGCTCGACAGTGCAGCCTAGGCGGAGTAGTCGAACACAGATTCACTGAGCGCTCCACACAGACAGCATCGTCAGAAGGAAAGTTGATAAAATAAATTACAAATGTTGTATTGTTCGATACATATGCGTACCGAACCGAAAGCACTGTATCGAACGGTTCAATATCGATACGAATATCGTTGCACCCCTAATATAATATATACATGAATAAACAAAGAGCATCAAGTGTGATTCAGATGTTTGTTTATTTTCAGGAACAGCAGAAAAAGTCAGACTTGCCAAACAACCTGAATTTTGAAAGTCACACCTCGACGTTCGTCCAGACTTGGAAACATCACGAAGCTGTTCTGTTGCTCAGCAACGTGGAGCTTTTAATTCAGACACTGTCTCCAGCCTCCATCATTGTCGCTCACGCTTCACCTGGTCCAGCTCCACCGCTCAAACTACCCAACACTCGCACGCCGCTCCTGTTCTTGCTCCCCATCGCCTGCTTTCAGCTAACCTACTGTTACTCGCCTCGCAGCTGATGCCTCGCAGCTGATGCCTCGCAGCTGATGCCTCGCAGCTGATGCCTCGCCTCGCAGCTGATGCCTCGCAGCTGATGCCTCGCAGCTGATGCCTCGCAGGTGAACCCTGTTAGATGTGGCAGATTCGTGTCTCGATCGAGCGGGGGTCTTTCATTGTTAGACAAATGTGTAAAAACGTGAAACACTGAACATCAGGTTTCATGTTTTTTCGTTAATAAAGTTTTGTTCAAATAAGAATCACAAGAAA